AAAAACACCATTCAGAACCTTGCTTTCCAAATGTCACTGTATGTTAAACATCCAAGCATGGGTGCTTTTGAACTCCTTGGCTGGTCTGGTCTCTCTCCTCTATTAAGCATTTTAAAATATTCTACTCTTGAGCAACAGGCCCCCCCGCCACCAATAACATTAAGAGGCAGAGATGTTCACTATTCCTTCTTTTGGCCTTGTAACTTTCTACAAGGTCTTTAGGAATATGCCTTGTCTAGAATCAACATTAATATAAGTATTATTATTTTGTGTATGGATCATTAGATGCTTAGCACCAAATGTAGGATCTACTTTGTCAGCACAGTTTAACCTAAAGATGCCCTTCCACGCTTGAAAGTCAAATGGTACTAAGTATTTTTTTAACACATAAGCAATACAAGTTTTTCTGATCTCAGAATGAATACTGTCCAGAAACAGAAGGGCCCCAGCAGAACCTGAATGTAACATTATCACTGAACTTCTCCTTCTTGTCTACTGTCCTCTGTATTTGAATTTAATATCTGTAAAGCCAGACAGTCTGAGATGAATCAAGACAAGTTCCTTTTTGATTTCAAGTAAGCCAATTACATTCTTTTTGTTATAACACAAGAATGCCTCTGACCTCCTAAGGTAGGTGTCTCTTCCAGAGAGGGAGTTAAGAAAGAGAATACTCAACAAAGGTATATAGTGGGATTGTCAGCGGTCTGAATATGAAAGGCGAGAAAAGAAATGCATAATTCTAATAGCCTGAAACAGTACTGTAACTGCTCTACTTGAGTCATATGGTTTTACCTTTAAAATCACAACATTCCAACATCTTCAATTCCAAGATGAAAAACAACTAATTAACTGCTGAAGAATTTCAAATCAGGCTTGCTTGTTCTCAAACTTAAGAACCTCTGTTTAGTTCCTAACCTCACTGTCAAATTGAATTCCTTTGCAGGACAGATGCTGCACTTACAATGCTGAACATGTGTTCAACATTGGGCGTTTACTGCATGTAACCCTGCCACAAAACCTAAAAATTAAAACCCCCTCAGCTTTAACTTTTTAAAGTTTTAATTGGGTGTAAGAGGAAGTGAACTTGAGAAAACTTGAACACCACGCAGAAAACATAGTGATCCAATATAATATGCACTAAAGGAGACCTCACATTTTAAAATTTGTCTGACACTCTGACAGCATCTCCGTAGGGATAATGATACTTTCTTTTGCAAAGCACTGTGCTGTCTGCAAAGCTGTATAAGAACTAAGTGTTATTATTAGAGATGGGAAAGGCCTATTAGATCATCTGTCCATCTCTGATATAACAGAAAATGACAGTGATTTGCTGCTGTGATTTGACAGTGACATTTGTAAAAATGTCCTTTCCTCTTAACTCTCTGCAAGTTTCAGTGCTGAGGATTCAATAAGCTAGGCGGCTTACTAACTTTGTCGATCTCCAACTTCTGTGAAGCATACTGAGGTATTACATATAACTATTTCAGGCCACTTTTCCATCTCCTTCCTTCAACTTTTATTTTTTGAAGAGGAAGGAAAGAACAATCCTCATAAATAGTGCACATCAGCCTCACAGAATTGGTCTTCCACTCCCCAGCTGTAGACCGCTTGCATGTCACGGGCAGTACTGTAGCAACTCTTCTGCTTGGGATTGTGCATCATGTAGGAGAGAGAAGCTGTTTTGCATCTTGGTGTTTTCCAGGAGACTTCCAATTCAGAAGCCACGTATGAAATATACCCATCACAACCCACTGTGATATGAGCATACATCCATCATGTAACCTAGCCATGGCGGATGCCTGATCAGATGATGCACAGAGTCTTACACGATGGCAGTTGTAAGAGGTCTGCAGAACTCTTGGTGGTGGATGCTGGCAGGTCTAAGATCCTTCTTCTCATGCAATAAGGCTCTGCTTCTCCACTGCTTTCAAGGGAAGAATTGTTTCTGCTCTTCCTTATATTCCCTAAAATTTCTTGGAATGTTTGCTACAACAGGTTTTTAATTTAAGTGCCAATATAACAAAGTGTCTGGAGGGAAATTAGTTGAAGTATTCAGAAGATGACTCTCAGTATGATTCACACTGCTGTGAGCAAAGAAGAGGTCTGTCTGGCCTTCTGTACTGGAGTGATAACAGATATTGGATGCAGTGTGTACTCAGATAAAGTTAATGGCAGTGACATCTGGTAGATGACACAGAGGAGCAAACTCCTGTCATCTGTTTTTTAACACTCTGTGCCCAAACCATTATATGTCAGACTTGGTAAAAGTGAATAATCTTTCAGTATCTACCACTCTTCCCTCCCATCCTCTCAGTCATATGAGACTGAAGGACTACTAGATAAATCACCTCCATATATTCACAAGGACAGCAGAGCTAAAAGCAGCCAGGGAAAAAGGATTCAAGGTATGCAGCTTATTAGTAATGGCCTCCCCAATATTTAGGAGTCATTCTACAGACTCGTACATTCCCAAAGCCCTCTCACAGTCAGAACAAATGCTTACGTAAAGCCTTGTGCCTTCAAAGCGCTACACCAACATAAATATATTAATAAGACTCTTCCCAGAAGAGAATGCAGTGTCAGAGAGATGCCATTCAAATGGCTCGGCTGTGAGAGGTAGAGCTTCAAATATTTCATTAAACCATCTTTACTCTGCCATCAATTTCAAGCCCATTTAGAAAAAAAGATGGAAAGTACAGTGAAGCTTTATGAGCAAAAAGAAGAGTAACTGCTCGTACAATGATTTTGCCCTCTATGATTACAGTGTTAATTAAATTGTATATTCTGTGTTGTGAATCAACTGAATTCAACATAAAGTGAAATAAAAATAAGACTTTTATACTCAGTATATTTAGGGAGTTGGTGCAAGCACAGTTTTTCAGGATGTTTTCATAGCATGACATTGCCTAGCTTCTTATAAATATAAAAGCCATGCATCAGTAGCAGCTTCAAAAAGGGCCTATCAAAAAACTTTACAAAAATGACAATGTTTTTTCTGTATATATAGTACTGAAATTTCAAGAAAGGTGAGGGCAGAGGCTCAAACAGGAACTACGGAAAGCTAGTTGCTTCTAGTTACCATGACTCTAATGCAAATGCAGTTGCACAGACAAATGACAAACGCATGTTAAAATACATATCTGTCAGTTTACTTGGGCTCTGAAAGCACAAATAAGGTACAACCTAGGTTTTGTCCCTACTGCAAACTATTCAAAGTTCTTCTAATATCCAAATATTTTAAGAATTATTTCTTTTAATTACCATATTTTATTTTAATTCAAAGTTTTTTCCAAGTCAGAATGCATTTTTGGAAGTAGCTCACACTATATTTAAAGCAACTTTAACATCATTTTGTATTAGCAGGATATGAACTTTATGAAACAACCAAGGGACTGAGTCAGGTCTAACTGTGGAGGTAAGCTAGAAAACTCAAGAGGCAATGTCCTATGCTACAAGACAGATGAAATCCCACACTAATCTATGCCATGTTATCTGCCACCTGCATATGGGGATATCATTGTTTATGTTCTAAAACGCTTGAAGTTATACTAAAAAGGTGAAGGTTCAATTCCTCTTTGTGTAGTATTCGGCTCCTTTTATGCTTGTTGCAACAGAAAAACATGAAACACATTGATATCACACACAATAGTGCAATAAAAGTCCAGTTTGATTCCTAATAAAGTTTGGAAGGATTAATACACTCTGATTTCACATTTCTAGCTTTCCAGTATGCTGAGGCTTTAAAAGAACAGGGCCCCTGACCTGCAAACTTCCTTTTTCTCTTTTTTCATTTTCATCTTTAGCTCTAAGAGCGGAAGGAAAATGCCCCATATAGCATGGATACCAATGTCACGTGCAATAAGAGAGTCCTGCAAATGCTGTCGCTATGAAACAATGCCGTGCAGAATGGTCTCAATACAGCCGTGGCTTTCAAATCAATAAGCAGTAGAAGACAGATATCTGAAAAAACAAACACTCAAAAAGGCAAGACTGAAAGCTTCCAGTTTTGAAAATCTAAGAAGGCTGCATGGCTCAGCATCTACTGAATTTTTCACGACTTGTAGTCTCAATCCAACATTCAGGTTCTCGTCACTTCTATTTAGGAAAGACTTCATCCAGAGATTGTCTCTTTAATTACAGTAACTAAGGTTTGAATCCAAAGCAGCTTATTAGCTACATTAGACAATGAGGAACTCAGACTCAGATTCCTTCTTCTCCCACCAGAGAATTGAAGCACGCTGTGCACTCTGACTGTTATGTGTGGGCAGATATTATCTAGCAATCAAAAGGAAAAGTAATGTAAAACTGAATACAAAATGGTCTTGTAATACGCAAAAAGGTAGATGTGCCAGTACGAACAACCTCACAGGATGCACAGTTTCATGAGGAAGTCTTTCCAAAAAATGTCTTGTGTACATGTAGCATTATACCTACTAAATAATGAACCCACAGGATGTTGCCACAGAGAGAAAATAAAAAAAGGTGATTAATATTTGAGTGAGATGCCGTTCCAAGGTCTTTGTCAAATGCATAACTGATCAATGGATATTATTGCATAGCAGCTCAATAAAATTGTAAGGTATTTCAGTGAAAACCTACCATTATCTTCATGCACAATAAGATGCCTTGAGATGCAAACATTGAGAATGATTAGGGCCACAAAGAAACCTAAATGCACACTGCTCTTGTAATTCAAATGCAAATTCTATATACCCAAACTGCATCAATTCAAGAAAAAGTCAAACTCATGAAAACTTTCTTAATATGTTGCATAAGGTATCAAAAAGATTGAAAATAGGATTAGCAAAGGAGAATGTACCATTCAATGAGTATTGGAAAAGATGCTTATCAAAAATTTATCAGGCAAAGTAAGTCTGAGAAATGCTGATAACAGATGGGAACTGTCTCGGCAAAAAAAAACGTTGCTAGTTTGACTGTTTCTCTAGCTGAGGATAAAAGTGTCCTGGGGGAAAAAAATAGAAAAGTCTGATTTTTCTTACCTCTTCCTTCTCTGCACTTTGCAAGTCCCTCCACTCCTCAGTGACATGACCGAAGTCCACTGTGTTCATCGCAACCTTATATTCCCCAATTATATCATGTTTGGAGAAACGATCAAAGTCATAAACTGCCATCACTAAAGTTTTTCCACCCAGCTCGGAGTATGGCACCTGCAAGGAAGAGAAAATGACAAACTCCGTATCTGAGACAATAAAGATCAGTCCACTACAATGCAAATCTATTTCTTTGGTTTATCAGCTGTCATCTCAGGTAAATTGAACTGCAGAGAAAATTATGAGGTGTATTTGTTTCAGAGTCACCAGACGCAGTATTTTTTGAGACCAGGCTCTGGCACTCGATAGAACAATGTGGCAGCTCACCCATCACTCCCCGGGTTTTTCTCATTCTACTTCAAATCATTTTGTGGGTGATGAAACTGAAACAGGAAGCCCAATTATTTGCACTGAAGACACATGAACTTTTCACACAATGGTGTCTTTTCCTCAATAAATCAACTGTCATCGCTCAGAAATGGGTAGCTCCCAGTCTGATGAAAAAAACAGAACCGGCTTACTGTATCTGACACAAAGTAATTAGACACTAAATAGCTCTCTTATGGTACCACTACCTATTACTTACCAGGGCATATTTTTCATTATGATACCTTTCACACTGTAGACACTAAGGTGCTTTCTAAGTCACAGCGTACAGCTAGAAATTGCGGTGGCAGAAGGCCAAGTTCTGACTAATTCTCCAGCTGTTCTGGTGTGTTTTGGACAGATGCTGTGGGTTAGGACGCTTATGAGTCACATTTTTAATATTCAGATGAAGATGTGCAGTTCAGGTAAGCTACACTTGAGTGGCTACCTGGAGAGGTCTGGTTTCCAAATTGTTTGGATTTACACTGAACACTTGGTCAATTTGAATATATTCTGCAAGTATAAATGGTTTCCACAGGCTTCAGTAAACATTTCTCTATTAATTGTCTTTATAAAAAGAGAAATGAAAGCGTGACATTATCATTGGCCTTGTTAACTGCTGTATGTTCCAGTCTGTTTAAACCCTAGGACTGTCGTCTTTTGTTACTGTTTGGCTTCCACTTGCTTTTTAATATACTTCCTAATAACATGAGTAGTTTTTCTTTTTCATAACATGTTCTATAATGTTTAAAAGAAACTCCAGCTTCCATTACTGAGTACAATGGTTTCAGTGGCTACAGGGTTGCGCATTGTAGTAAATACTATAGCAAAATCTATTTTGATTCTGTAGGTTATTTGTAGCTTCTAAAAAGCTACAGAAGGCAAATGTATGTGGAAGGCAAAATTCTAAATAATTCCACTTTTATTTTTATGCAGCCTCAAAAACAGGAGAAGAGAAATGTTGTAAAGTTTCCTTCTCCATCAGTTTACAATATCGCTTAATGGATCTTGGTCATTTGGAATGTATGAAAAGACTACATTTATCATTATTTTCTTTTTTTTAATCATTAACTTGACCTCATTAAAGCTTATTTTTGCTACATTGCTTTTTAAAGATCTAGTGGCAGCGCTTCCTCCATTCATTACTTCTAAAGCAGCCTCAGCATAAAGCTTTGTTTGGGACAACCAAGGACGTCCTCAGATCTTGTGAAGGACTGCTCCCTCTCCCTGCTTTCTGCCCTGCTCAGAGATACTCAGCCTCTTGACTTAATGCAGGTGAGACCTTGGCAGAAGGACACTTGGTAGAGGAGTGTTTTTCTGCCACAGACGTGTCACTTCTCCAGGCATGAACCCTCTTCCCACCTTGGGCCTGAGGAGGAACACCTCCCTCTGCCAGACTGGTGTAGTCCAGTCAGGATTTCTCAGTTCCTTTTTGGCAGCACAGTGTGGGTACACAGTTCAGACAGCTGGAGCCTGATGAACACCTGCACCCTGGAACAGCACCATGGATGTCTGTGGAACAGAAATGAAAAGGGGACTAACATAGACAACCACCCAAAGAAGAGAAGGAATGAGGTCCAGGGCTCAAGATGCAATACAACAGAAACAGAACCCATCTCATCCCCATTAGCCCTTCTTTGGGAGGAAGGCAGGCACCTCACAGCTCTGTTCTGGGAGAAGGGAACAAAACGGGCCTGGGCTGCCCGGTGGGCAGCTCTGCCACAGAGAGGTGGGGAAGGATGCCAAGAGGAGCTGCGCGCCACCTGAAGCAAGCGGGACACTATAGTCCAGGAGTGGATGATCTGGTTAATAATTTGTGCCTTCATTTTAGATGACAGTATTATTGGTTCTTTCTTTTCTTTTTTGAGCTGCACGGGAATCTGTAATTTATAGCTCTGTTTTCTTTTAAATACTGTCTGAGGAAAGCTCGAGAAAAAAATAACTCCCCACAAAAGATTATTTTGATGAACATCTTCAAGGGAAAAAAATAAGCTTATATATGCAGTAGTAGTTCTGGCCTCCAGGGATATCTTTCTCGTTGAATGATTACATAGTCTGAGTCTTTCACTATTCCTGTTTTCAATCTGCAGCTGTCATTATATGATTGGGCATAGAGAGAAAGGCCTAAAGTAACAGCAGAGGAATGTATATTAGGAGAAGCCGTATGAAACGCGTTGAATAGTATTCCTTTATTGTATTTAACTGGGGTTTAGGTACGGCTACAGTCTTACAAAAACCCTATTGATAGATACTATTGGAACAACTCAAATATTGCAGCGTAAGGCTTAGCTACGTTTATTTAATTCACATGTTATTAAACCTGAGACATGATTTCTTTTCATATGTAAAGTAGCATGGCAAAGAATTGCTATGACAAAGATTAATCTACCATTTCATCCATTTACCTTTCTTGAGTTTTAATTTATTTTTGAGGGAAAAGAAATGGTATACTGAAATTCATAAATCAGACTACAAAGATATTTAAAGAAAACTCTAGTCTACTGAAATTTACTTGATATTTGTCAGTGTCCCTGTTTTCTGATTTTCTTGTAATTTTTATCCGGCCATAAAATATGGATCAGATTGTCATATATCAGGATAACTGAAGTGCCTAAAATCAAACTGTGCCTTTTACACCTACTGAGGTCTGACCCTATATTATACCATTTTCATCATAAGATTGAATACCAGAGCTTTCTACAACATGAAAAATCACTATGCTGCAGTTACCAATTAACTAAGATGTCTAACTTTGTAGCCAAGCATGAGACACAGTGGTTAAATAAAAATTTTCAATAATCATAAAAAAAATACCTTGAATGTAAATTGCTCATTGAAAACAGGGTTAAGGGTCTTTCTGTGGACTTTTGTCTCATATTTCTTCTTCTTATCAGGTAGCAGGAAAACTTTCACATAGGGATCGGATGTACCACCCATATCTAATGCAGGCAGCTCAGCTGCTTGAATAATCCCAACCAGAAGCTGAAAAGAGAGAAAACCAGCAGAATGAAATTTCAAATAGATATTTACAAAAAAAATTGTAGCAGAGAAATACACATGCAGACTCTATTTCTGGTCTATGAAAAACTATTTCCCCCCCGCCTTTCAAGGAAGGCAAATGAAGCAACACTATAGACTTTAGAAAACCAATTATGGCAGATGCAGACTGTACAAAGGCTGTTTTTAAGCAGAAAAGAGGTTTTCAAAGGGCAGCTGATTACAGCTAAATACAGACTTCATCTTTTTAAAGACTGCAATCAAATAACTTTCAATTGCTCTCTCCTCTTGTGCATTATTTTTCTATGCTGGGCACCATGAATAGAAATCACATTATTAAACAATCAAGAATGTCTAATTTTGACTACAAAATTTGTATTCTAAACCCCCAACACGTAACCTTCCCCCCAACCAAACACAAAAAGGTGATATATCAAATGCAAATCCTCAGGCAGAGCTTTATTGAAAACAAATGGATCTTGCAGTCTTCCTTATATTTAACTTCTCTTGCTATGTATACAAATGGGTTTAGGTAGTAAACTCAGGGCAGCATTTTCCAAAAATATGCCATGAAAACTAAGCTTTGGTAACTAAATCCTAATAACAATTCGTAATCTCATTGCAAAATCGAAAAAACAGTTTCTTAAATCTCTTACACACTTCTAAAAATAAGACTGAAGTACGGTTGAAACTTGTAAATGCCTTGGGCATGTTTTAAGTGTTATAAATGAAGGCTTATGTTACGTCATGTCATGTCATGTCATGTCATGTTATGTTATGTTATCTAGACATCTTAGCCTGCATTAGGCCTCATCAGCGTAATGGAGTTGAGAGAAAGAAAATACTTTTAATGTTGTTTCATAGACACAGAACTAAGGTAAACATTCAAGTGACTCTTCAAGGTCAACCTGTGAGACAAGATATTAAGAACTGGGAATGAAATCTGAGAATATTTTCTTCTAAATCAGTGCTTCAGTCACAATATATTTGCTTCTCTCATGGATGAATTGTTTAAAATTGGAAACAGAAGCTCTAATAACTGGAATACAGAACAATATAGTAAACCTAGGAAAGAAGCTTCTGTCTTCTCAGAGATTCCTCAAAATTGGACTTATTTTTACCAGTTTTAAATTCACAGTATGGCCTGCATGCTTTCCCACCTACAGGACTCTCAAGCTCCATGAAACATTTTCCTTTAGCTGTAAGAAACACTTCTCCTTTTCTGCCTCATTCTTATGCTAGATGCATAACAGTTCATAAATACATGGATAGGCTCAGGATCTACATCAAGTCTTTCACATCAAAGAGTGAAAAACAAGTCTATGTCTTTTAGTTAACAGAGTGGAAAAGCAATTCAATTCCCTTTTAAAATTTCTCTCTCTAAAACCAAGGCATCGTGCTTTGGAGAGTACATCGGTCATGTCTCCATTTTTAACCCTATTCAATACGGTAGCCAGAGTTTTGGTCTGTAGTTTCATGCCACCATACTATACTAACCTAACTGAATCCCCTCTTCTGCTCTTTTATATCATTCATCCTCTGATAAATTCCAAGCTGCAACATAGTTTAGAGCAGCAAAATAAAATAGGAATCCATAATTCAAATAATTTATTACCTTAACTAAACACTACACACTTTTGCAAATTTGCTGTTCTCCCGTCCTGTGTCCCTTTGTAAAATAAAGTCCACAAAATCAACGTTTCCTTTAAGAAAATTCACACAGAAAGTTTGTTTTCATATTCTGAGAAAACTGAAATCCACTTGTCAGAACGCATTTGCATCTTTTCCTTTCCTCCTCTTTAGATCTTCTGCTTCTAAAGGGTCTAACCCTTCATACTGATTTCATACTGATTTCAAGGGGGATCAGTGTGACTCATCACATGGCCAGGGGAATTTGCTCTGGGAGTCAAGGGAAAGCTGCTTTAACCACTTGTTCTTGAAAAGCTTCAGAATTCTTTTTGGCTCTTGCATTGAAAAACAAGCAAGTTGGAAGATAGGTAAAAAGACGGGGAAATACTATGTAATACGCCAGGTCATAGCTGTGTGTAAATACTCTGCTGCTGACAAAGAAACTTTTCTTAATTTCTCTTATTTTCTTTGGCTTGTGAAAACCAAGTGTACTGCATTCTGTGAACAGCATCAAATAAAGAATCTGAATGTGGAAATAAATTACAAGTACATGTGGAAGTCTGTTCAGATGAAGAACGGGAATTAACAGGGATTTAAGTTCAGTTGTCATTTCTTTCCTTAAATAGAGAAAAATGACGTGGTTTTAACTAAAGTTGTCAAAAAAATGAAATGCAGGATATGTATTCTCAGGTTCACTGAAAGACATGCAGTAGAAGTGAAGAAGTCAGATGTCTTGGTGTACTTCAGTCCAAAGTTAAGCGCAGTGAGTTTTAACATGAGGCTGTGAATTGATGTAATTCACAAAAGTGATCCCAAGCACAGCAAGAGGCCAGGAAGGGTAATTAAATATGAGCTAGTTCAGGATGTGGCCACACCTGCTAAGTAGGTCCCTTCTAAGTCTACATCACATTATGGTGTCTACTCCTACCGAAAACCTGGCTAAGTATGCCAAAGTTTGGTTTTACCAGCTTCAGAGTAGGGTACTGAAGGAGTATCAGTCCTTGACTGGACAGATTCTTCTTCTCCAACTTTCCTGTTTTTTGGGAGACAGGCCTTTTTATTTGGACTTTTGTTCCAAACTAAAATTTTCTTGGCTAGTAGGTGTGCTGTGTGCTTTAATAGAGAGCAACAGAACCTGGTGCACACCTGATGAAGTGAGAGAAAGCTACTCCTGGCAATCGTATTGAATTGCTGAAAGACCCACAATGAATCAACTTACTTTTATGTCCCTCTTTTTTCCCATGCATCTTTTGTTTGCTTACGTTTTAAATAACTGAAGGCTGAAGCCATCTTTTACTGTCTGCAGGCAGACTCCATAATAAAATGTGGGTTGACATTGATTGGTGAAGCCTTAACTTAAGTTATTAATAACTATTAGAGAAAACTGTGTCTTCAATTTTGATTAAAGGTGCAATATAAACTCCGAGTACACTGAATACCAATTTAGCAGTACCTCTGTCATGAATCTTGAGTCTTGTTTTCTCCCGTTACTCCATGCAAGCAGGAAGGATTTCAGAAGTATCTACTGTAACTAAATTTATTACTTCATTCTCCCCTTACACACACAGAAAGGAAATGTTACAGGTTGCTTGTTTCAAACCTGGTTGTTCTGGAAATCATAATCCAAAGAATATTGGATTTTCCCTAGTTTCTCCACTTCTTTGGGTTCTTCTTTCTCTTCCCCATCAGTCAGGCCAGTCTCAGCATCGTCATCCTTAAGAGCCTAGAAAGAAGGAATGTAATATTCATAAATAAGGCAAACTCTTAAGTACTAGTTTAAAACAGACACTGTCTTCAAATCTATTTTCAAGCCATTAGAAGCAAGCATGACAGCAGAAATTCAAATATGCAGTTTACATATATATTTATATTATTTAGGTTGCTCAGGAAGATGTTATAAATCAGCAAGCAAGCAATGGAAGTAGGAAGAAAGCTTCTTGGGCTATTACAAGCAACGATTGTTATAAGACCTGAAAGTAGAAACAAGATATCAGCTTCATATCAAAAGTTCTTCTGGGCTCACACTGGCTCTTAAAGAGGCACAAGGAGGCAAACATGCTATTAAATAAGCAAAGTCACACATTCATTCAACTTAAGAATATCTTGGCAACGTCAAACCTGGTTGTGCATGCTGTGAATCGTTTGCAATTGGCAACACATTTCTGTAGGATTACTATGATAAAGAGCGTGTGCTGTGGATGAGTTCTTCCTACAATCATATGCCAAACATTTTTCATGTTTATTTAGAATGAATATGGAAGCAAAGTTTTCACCATGCCATTAGCAAATGCATGTTTCTCCTTTCCCTCCCTCCCGAGACCAATTTCCTTTTTATTCATTCTCGCTATAAAGCTTGGCTGAACCAAATTGATTGAAAGTTGATTTTAGTTTGCTTAGAAAGAAATACAAAAATAAAGAAATACAGAACTGCTTACAGCTTTGTCTATTGCATAAACCCCTCTATTTTTAAAGGACACAGCAGTTATCTTAGATTTTATACATAATTAAAATACTAAATGATGTAATAATTTTTTTTTGCTGTACCAGAAAGCAGAAGTATTTGCACTGCGGTAAAGGGAATTCATACAATTATTAAACCATATGAACCATAACTAACTATGTAGATCTTATTCCAGCAGATTCTCACCTGAGTAAGAACTGAAACATAGGCAAAAGCGATGAGAAAAATAATGAAAATTGTGGAAAATATGAAAATAAAGTTGAGAGTGTGAAAACAAGGAATCGGTACCGAGCATTCATCCAGAATTGTTATTTGCATATTATAGTAAACAGTATGTTTAACTATAAGAGCCCTATCTGCATGAAAGTTCCTTCTAAATGGACCTTCTGCTTTCAGAAAGAGACTATTAAGTGCAAGAGTAAGATTTTTTATGTTCTTTCTTTTTTCACAATGTGAGGTGTTCTGAAGAAACCTACAGCATATATAAATAACAGGTTGCAGCTGGATCTCTCTCTCTGATGAGATAGTGAGGCTGGAAAGTAGTTACACCCATGGTTGATGGTGGTTGGTGAAAGAAAGAATGTTAACATTCATGTTAGCATTAACATTCTCAATCAGCCGTGAAGGCTGCAACAGTTGCATGGGTGTGGTAAGAGGGAAGATTGATCTCTGAGATAGAAAATGTTATTTTTCAGAAGCCAGATCTAAATTCAAAAGGCCAGACTCAAAACTGTACAGTATTAAGCAATTATTTCTCAACTTTTTGAAATAAGCTAGAAATTCAGCTGGCATAGCTCAAATGAAATCAATGCAACAACATTGATTTATGTAAGCTGAGGAGCTGGGCTAGAGTTAAATATCTGAATGGTAGTGAATGATGGACTCCTTACTAGGAACATAAATTACAGGGTACCTGCCTGAGATTGGTGGGAAAGCTTGATAGTGGATGAGAATCACCTGTGATGTTGGAAGAGTAATACCTTTTGAACTAAACCATTTCTATTTGGAAAGACTGAACTGCCCAAACCGAAAATTATTTTGAGACATTTTAATCGCTGAGCTGCTAGTGAGTTCCCTGGCTGTAGACCAACATTTTTGTTAGTACAACAAGTGTGACACTTCAATAGTGACAGGTTCACTATTGAAGGTTCACAAGAGGATAGCATTGGAGAAAAGCCAGTCTGAGGCACAGCCCCTGCGGGACCGTACACGGGACTTTCAGTATATGGGGTGATGTGATTATGCCAAGCACCTCACTCTCATTGGTAATAAAAATAAACTTGAGGTTTTGTGATCAAGAAAAAAAAGAAAGAAAAAAAAGATGTGACTCAGTCCAACCAAACCAACCACATTCATCTGAGCCTGGAGACAACAGGCAGCAATAACTCAGAGTGGGATGTTAATTCCAAGACCCACTGCTCTGAAATCATCTCAGCAGTGCCCTAGCAAAAGACTCCATGATAGAAGAGTGATAAACAGCTCTGGTATATCACCATTTCTGGGATAAGTACTGGACTTTCTGATGTACCACCTACTTTTGACCTCCACTTTGTTTGCGAGCAACTATCCTATGATCACTCCTCAGGAATAAATGGGAGGGTGCAAAAAGAACCATACACGCTAATTCCCAGGTATAAGGAATTTGTAACTATTGCATCAGGGACTAGTTATGTATCCACGTTCTCTCTAGAAAAATTATATACTCTTCTGCATAGATGATCAACCCAGGAGATGCCAGAGCTGTGGGCAACTCAATGTGAAAATGTTGTTACTATGACTATGGAAAATATAATGGGAAGCTAATGTCCCTCTTGCATTTAAAAAAAGGGAGTTTTGAAGTGCAGGCAGAAAACACTGCATGGTTGGGAAACGCTTCTCCACAGGTTATAAGAGGCTTATTGGAAGGTGAAAGCTATTGCCCAGCAGAGATGGAAAACATTGCCCGTTACTCACATCAGCTGAAGAGCTGTATGATTCTTCTTGACCTTGACTCAGAAACACTGAAGCACTAAGAGACACTAAGAATGAGACGTTGTTCGGATTTGGCCAAGGTCATGGCACGGAGGGAGGGAAGAAATGACAAAGTATTATCTCTACAACAGTCTGTACAGAACAGTTTTTACCAGTTTGCTTTCAAACTACAGGCCAATGCTTCAAGAAGCTGAGTCAAAGGAAGCACAGAAGTTTCTCACGTTTGATGCAGCTGCTGAGTTCCAAAGAGGAAGAAGAATTGGATTGCTTCAAAGTACTTGAAACACCCCGGAGGGATTTTCATTTTGTATTGAGATTCTCTGAAAGATCAATATTTAATGGAATAGTGCTGCAACCCTCAATTTATAGCACACTATATCGGATTTTACTGTTGTATTGCTACAATCAATTAAAATAAGCAGCTATATTTTATTGGTTTTAGACACAATAAAATATTTTTAATTATAAGCTAGCTTTTTCCTCAAGCCTCATCAACTGACACAACTGTGATCAGAAAGCCTGGATTTAGATGCAGCGGAATATAAGCCTTTCCTTTCCTAATATTTCTTTTAATTCCATGACATTTTAAATGCCTTTTATGTGAAATATGCAGCATAGAATTGCATTATTACATTGTGCTGGAGACCAGATTTATTTTTTCTAACTTAGGATGACTGTGAAGTTCATTCAAGTGGTTTCTTCGTTTCTGCATAACATGCAGAAACACACAACAATGAAACCTCCATATCCTCTTACATGTGTATAAGTATCTGAAAAACTTAGGGTTGTATGTAAGCAGGTGTAGGAACGTATAAAAAAAGTGTTAATCCAATACAACCATTACAAGATGGTAAATCCACATCTAATGAAATCAGCAAGTGGGAAAAGTGATGTTGTGCCAGGGACCTTAACAGAGCCACAAAATATACAATATATGTTTTCTTAGATCTGGAAGACGAAATGAATTTTTGAGCAACCTCTCGTTTAATCTGTATTTGAATGACCTCTGTAACTAGTTCTAACCAGGGGTGCGGACATAAATCTACATATGGCATTAGGATTTGCTTTTCTGTGCCATGTTTAGTTAATCGTTTTCAAGCTCATCTACTCTGCAGTGGTTCCTACAACAAACAGGGCTAAATTACAGCAATCTGGGATCCACAGTTCAATCTGCTGGTTTTTTCTTCACTTTTGTAACATAATTAAGGGTGGTTTTAAAGGCTTCTCTTTTCTTCTGGATTGACAAAGAAAATGTTTAATTTTCAATTTTTTTTTGTAGTTTCATCTTTTGCATAAGAAAAGGAAAGAAAAAAAAAAAACCTGCTTGTAACTGCAGTTCTGGCAACTCCACACCTTGCAGCGGGTTTTTACAGTTCCTGGGCTTCCTCCATCTCCCACTCCCCCAGCCAACAAAAGCCTCTCTCCAGTGACGCTGCCCTCCTGCTACTGTGAACATCCTTCGCTTCCAGCTCTGCTCTACCAAAAGCCCTGCACCATGTCACTGGGGTTACCCCACTACCCCACAAACCACAGGAGAGATTCTGGGGATTAAACCAGCTTTATGCACGCTTACATTTAATCCTTCCCAAAACTATGCGTAGAAATTGAGAGGGTCTGCAAGGGATTTCTCACAGCTGCTCTGCTGCTTGCCTCCAGATTCCACGTGTGCAGAGGCTCCAGGAAAGCAAATTGATACGGGACTTGGGTAATAAAGCTGCTGGGGAAGCAAGTGTATTTCCTTGCCTCCTGGGCAGCGAGGCAGAGGCCACAATCACGTCTGAGTCACCAGGAGGATGCAAAGACCCATGAAGGTGTATTTTGATCATTGATTCTGGTCTCAGTTATCTTCATGTCTCATTGTTAATGCTTAGTCCATGTCACAAGCTATTTAGGACTGCAAGCAAAGTGTCTTTCACTGTCGTATGTAAAGAAACACACTCATTAACAGTTTTTAGGGTTCCTTCCACTCCTGGGGTGGCCTGTGGGGAACATTCCACTTTTAAGGGAACAAGTTGCCAGTAAGCAAGAAGGAGAGAAGTTAAGAAGGAAAATGTAACGCTGCAGCCTCTAAGTTTATTTGCTGCACAGTGCACGCTGCCGTCCTGAGCTCCATCTCCGCCTGCCCCATCCATCATTCCTTTTGTTCACATGGTGAAGGGGATATTTTTTTAATGTGTGAATGATGCCTAGTCCTCAGGCTTGTGCAATGCCTGCTGAGCTGAATGGAAGAAAACAATATTGTTTTGTAGAGAGAATGTTCTGTGCCATGTCCAACACTGAATTTATCAGAA